GGTTGGACATGGGCTTGGAGCAACCTGCTCTAGTGGAAGGTGTCCCTGCCTGTGGCAGGGGTTGGAACTGGATGAGCTTTAAGGTCCCCTCAACCCAAACTAGTCTATGATATTTCAAGAGTAAGTTGACCCCAACCCAAAGGCAGGATGCTCTGGGAGGAGAAACTTGCAGTGTCATTGAGTGCCTTCCCTGGAGTGTCCTTTCTCACCAAGGCAAGGCTGCTTGTAGGACAGCGAGTGCTGATCAGATACTGCCTCTCACCTCTCTGTACCTGTTCCTGGTGTACAGGTTCCTCTGGCAAGGCTGGAGAATAAAGGCTTTAAACTTAATATATGGTCACAGGTACTGCTGAAGCGGTTCCACAGCAGTTAAATGGTGCTGCCTACCTATGCAATTACTATCTTGGCAGCAGTAAAGGCATCATTAGGGGGTGTGGAGCCCAAGGGCTGCCCCTTCCACAGCTACCTGATATGATAGCAGCCTTCATGAAGAGCCGAGATGGGCCACACTGCACTTGGACTTCAGAGGCACATCCACTTCCTGCATGTGTGTGCTGCCAGAGGACGTGTTTGTAGCCTGTTGTCTCTGGTTCCTGCTTATTTCAAAGTCTGGAAACTTCGGGTTTTTGGAGAAAAAGAACCAGTGCCATTCCTATCAGATGAAGTACTTAGAGCTTTGACTTCAGTGAAAACTGAAAAGGGTTTATTTCTCTTGTAGTACCCAAGGTTCCAGTGGGTGTTTATGCTGATGGTATAGACTCTTTGCAGGAAAAACGGTGCAACTGCTCGTTAGTCTCAGAAATCGGGGCTTAAATAGGAGACTAGAGATAAAGTAGCTGTAGATCAGAACAGTATCACCTGCTTGGATCTACACCTCTGTCAGGTGCCCCCATTCTGTAAGGTATGTAAAACATGATAGCAACATGTGGAAAGTCTGCAGCTCTGTTGTCTCTGCTAGCACAGACTGGTGCTGGTCCTGCATTTCAGGCAGGATTCTGTGGCTCTTCCCCCTTGCCTGTGTCTGGCTGGGGAATGGCCCCTGTGCAGAGCTTGGCATCGCTCCCATTTTTGCCTCCAGATGGACCCTTATTGTAAAAATGCCTTGTGAGCTCTGAGCTGTGGGTATTGATGTGCTCATCCAGAAAGAGCTGCACATTGGGCAGTCAGGCCTGAGAGATGGGAAACTGACTGAACTGGAATGGTCTTAAACAAACAGGATGCTGCGAGGGCTGGAGCAGCTCTGCTCTGGAGCCAGGCTGAGAGAGCTGGGCTGGGTCAGCTGGAGAAGAGAAGGCTCCTGAAGGGGAGACCTTAGAGCAGCTCCAGTGCCTAAAGGGGCTCCAGGAAACCTGGAGAGGGGCTTTGGACAAGGGCCTGGAGGGACAGGCCAAGGGGAATGGCTTGAACCTGCCAGAGGGAAGACTGAGATGAGCTCTTGGGCAGAAGCTCTTCCCTATGAGGGTGCTGAGGCGCTGGCACAGGGTGCCCAGAGAAGCTGTGGCTGCCCCATCCCTGGCAGTGTTCAAGGCCAGGTTGGACACAGGGGCTTGGAGCAACCTGCTCTAGTGGAAGGTGTCCCTGCCCGTGGCAGGGGTTGGAGCTGGGTGAGCTTTAAGGTCCCTTCAACCCAAACCACTCTGGGATTCTGTGAATTCTGTGAATGCGAGTGACCTAAATGAACTTGGTTTTTGATTAACTTCTCAGCTTAATAAAATCTTCTAGTTATAAACAAGAACTTTGCATTAAAAGCTGGTTAAGCTGGAAACCCAGCTGAAAATAAATTGCAGGAAGCTGTGATCATCTAGTTTGAGGCCCCGAATACCTTGATCCACATTCCTTAGTGCTTCGAGCTGCAAAAGATGACAATCCCTTGTGTAAGATTTCCCTCAGTGCAGAAGCTCATTTATCACTTTGAAGTTAATTGACATGTGCTAAATATTTATTCCAAACGGCCCAACACAGGAGCATTGTGTGTGGCCCTGTGCACAGTGCTGGGGCTGTGGAGCAGCCCTTACTGCTTTTAGGCTACTGAAACAGGCATTTCATAGAGTCACAGCCTGGTTTGGGTTGGAAGGAACCTTAAAGCTCACCCAGTCCCAACCCCCTGCCATGGGCAGGGACACCTTCTACTAGAGCAGGCTGCTCCAAGCCCCATTTCTACCAGTCATTCTTCACGTTGGTGCAGGTGGGTGCTGTGGCCATGGGAGGCTTTGTCCTTCCATCCACCTTCTGGAAGAGGGGGGGAATACAAATACCTTCCTTGGCCACTCTTGGTCTGAAGGAGTTGCAAATGTTTCTAGGAAATACCACAACTGCATTTGGAGTTAATCACTTGACACAAGGCAAGCTGGAGAATTATGCACCGTGCTTTTGTAAAAGCAGGAGCCTTGATTTCTCTATACAAGTGGTGAATGAAGGAGGGGATTTCTAACACAGAGTGGAGGCTGGGAGTGCAGTTCTGGTACGCTGAGCTGGTGTGTGGGAAGGGCAGGGAATAGGATCACAATCCGGATACGAGCTGCTCGCAGGCTCTTTTACAATGATTCTTGGAGTGTTTGGTGTCCAAGCAGCTTGTTTTCAAAGTACGTAAGCATGAACTGCGTGAAACTGTAGCTATTCTGAGCTGTACATAAATTGTAGTTTACTTGGGCTTGTCTAATGGTTGTAAAATCTCTGGGTTTGCCAATAATCCTCCATGATGCACAAAATCCTCCATAAAGAACGTCTCATCACTGACACTTCCCCAGCATCTGTCACCACATAACCACAGCCCATTAACAGCTTTATCTTTGAGTAAGAAAACTTTATATGCCCTTAATGAAACCATTAGCACAGAATTAACCAGACTAAATACACCAGCAACGTGTTGCTCAGCACTTCGAGATCTGGCATAAAGCTGGAACGTGTCAGATGATGTTTGTGTCATGCTTGATCCTGCAGAGCAAACGCTCTTATGTGTTACCCAGAACCCCAGGCCTGTTCCCACTCCCGTTGGATGAGGCTGGATGTTGGACTGGACCCAAAGCACTGGGGAGATTTACTGGTTGTTGGAGTGAAAGTCACTGAAGGGGCTTATTTTGGATCTTTGGGGTCAGTCAAGGTGACTTGTGCTCTGTGGTTTCAGTCACTTCTGCTGAATCAACCTGTGTGACTCTGTCCTTGGCAGCCTCGGCTGTGCCTTCACAAAGTACTTCTCCGTTCTCCAACACATCAGTGTAATTCTGAAGTAATCAAATCCAGCATATTCACAACCAATTGTAGAACTGAAGGTATGTGCAGGGCTTCTGGATACCAGGGCATTATCTTGAAGGACTGTCAAGCTTCTCCTGATGGCATCTGACAAAGTACAGAGTGGCTGCAGGAGCAGTCTGCTTTTAGGAGAGGAGCTACTTTGTGTGTATTACAGGAACATGCTCATCATGTCACAGTTGTCATCCTCTCGGAGCAGAGGTAAGGGAAGCTCTCTGCTCTTGGGATTTCCTACTTCGCTCCAGGAAATCTGCAAAGGTTTGAGGTAATGGCACTTAGAGATTAAAAAGTCTCAAGCCTTTATTTGCTGCCATTCCTGGTGAATGGGACTGAGCTGTGGGAGCTCACAACGTGGAACTTCAGCAGAGCTGATCGCTGTGTCGTGTTAACTGTTTCCTGCTGGGAGTCTCACAGAGCTGGAGAGCGCTGAGGAAATGAAGTGTGCATGTGCCTGAGCTCAGGAACCAGGAGCAGGGCTGGCAGGACAGAGCTTGCGTCCACACTGAGCTTGTGAACTACACGGACGGGGCTTGGAGCAACATGATGTAATGAAAGGTGTCCCTGCCCGTGGCAGAGGGATAGAACTGGATGAGTTTTAAGGTCCTTTCCAACCCAAACCAGTCTGGGATTACATGACCAAGACTGTCGTGCAGTGGACAAGTTCTGTTCATATCAAGGGGAGAAGGAGAAACACCATGAAGGGAAGCTGCACTTGGGTCTTACTCCATGTCATAATTAGTGCTTGCTCATCAGCTGTCAGTGTTTGGTGAGTCTTTCCCACACTGCAGCTCCCACCAAAGCCTTTAGCCACACGCAGTGCAGATCAGATGTAGGTGCAGTTTGTGTTCACTGGCAGTGTTTTGGGAACTGTGGTGTACCTGTTGCCTGCCCGGATGTCTCGGGGAGAGCTCGCTGTTGCCCGTTGTCACCCGTTGGGTGCATACCTGTCTGGGTGGGGTGAAGCTGAGCTTGGAGAAGTCTACCTGTACAGCGAGTCGGACCAGTCCTCCTGCACTGGTGGATCCTGCTGGGTGTGGAGCTCTGTGTTGGTGCTGTCGTGGGTGGGCTCCTCTTGCAAGAGCTTGCGTTGTACAACTGCTTTTGAGCAGCACGTGGCTCAAACCAGTTTCAGTGGTGGCATCTCTCTTCTCATGTCCATCAGTAGAGACTGTTGTGTGGACAGGACCTTGGAGTAGGAGTAATAGGAAACATGCACAAAGTTTGTTTATATGTAAGTATTTATAGGTATGTTCAGTATGTGCATTTCACAGCATTAAGCAGCAAAGCTGAAGAAACACTTGATTTGTATTTGAATGAGCTGCTTCTGCAGGGACCTGCTGCAGCTCCGTAACCTCACCTGGCAGGAGCTGCACCAGCGACTGTTGCCTTGATGTGTTGGGGTGATGGTGAGCAAGGATGTTTTTAGGTGGCTCAGCTTGGCTGTTGAAGCCTGCTGGGTTTTGTGGTGTAGCCTCTGGTCTGTGGTGTGTTATGAGTGATCCTTGAGCAGCTTCTTGGCATGCTCCTTCATGTGACAGGCGGTGGGCAGCAGGCATCTGGCAACCTTTAAACAGCTTTGTTGAAGAAGGTGAACACAGGGGTAGGCAGCTTAGTTTATCTAGGAAGAAGAGTGGACAACAAGCAATGGAATGTGCTGTGTACTCCTCTGTGCTGAGTGGCATTTGGGACAAGATGTGAATGACTTTTTGGGCATAAATCTCACAAGTCCTCCCCTTTTCTTTGTTGTTCAGCTGCTCTTCAGGCCCTGAAGCGTAAGAAGAGGTACGAGAAGCAGCTTGCACAGATAGATGGCACGTTATCAACAATTGAATTTCAGAGGGAAGCCCTTGAGAATGCCAACACGAACACTGAAGTGCTTAAGAACATGGGGTTTGCTGCTAAAGCTATGAAAGCTGCTCATGACAACATGTAAGTTATTCCCTTCTACATCTTTCTATAGGCCCTTTAGTTTGTCATTTGTTTGAGCTGCTAAATGCCAAGTGTTTCATAACCAAAGGTAGAGCTAGAGTAGCAAAATCTTTCAAAATGCTCTTACTTAAGCTAAAATACTAGATATACTTTGATATTGAACAAAATATGCAAGTATCAATGCTTTCACGGTTTCCCACAGTTTTATACAGCACAAAGCTGCTGGTTTTGTCCAAAAGAAAGCTAATGCCAGTGTAGGCTAAAGCAGATGGGAGGGTGCACCAGTTACAGATCCATCTAGTAGCAGCAAGCATTTTAAGCCTCAAGGGAAGACTTTAATGTCTTTCCGTGCAGTGGAGTTTGTGTTTGTAGCAGTAATTGAAGGTAAACTGCATTGTGGGAATGTTGTACTTGCTCCAGAGGCAACTATTATAGATGTAATAATGCTGGATGAGGGAATGGAGCAGTTCATTATTAATATTGGTAATTCAGAACAAATTCTCTTCGTGTGAAGGCTCTGTATATAAATGCTGTGAGCTAAGCTGCAAGGGCAGAGTAAAATATACATGCACAGTTTTGTTGAGGTGGGGATAACATTCAGACTTGCATGCGAAGTATATTTTGGGGAAGGACCTTATAAATATCACCGTGCTGTGGTGCCTCTGCAAAACCCAAGAAATAAAGCCTGAAGAAACACTTGGGAAAGTGCCTGATTCTATTGAACCCTTTCTTTTCTTTTCCAGGGATATTGATAAAGTAGATGAATTAATGCAGGACATTGCAGAACAGCAAGAGCTGGCAGATGAGATTTCAACAGCCATCTCGAAGCCAGTAGGATTTGGGGAAGAATTTGATGAGGTATGCTTGAAATTTGCCTCTGTTGATATCATAGAATCATTCATGTTGGAAAAGAGCCTTAAGATCATTGAGTACAACCATTAGCCCAACACTGCCAAGTCCACCACTAAACCATGTCCCTAAGCACCACTGGTATGTGTCTTTTAAATACCTCCAGGGAGGCTGACTCATGAGATCTTTCGTTTGAGATCTGCATATTGCATGGGTCTAGGTGTAGTTCTAGGATATAAATTCTCTCCTAGAACTTGTTACTTAGCTGTTGTTACAGTGCATAGAGCAGCTGTGGCCCTGACTTTCTGATGAGAATGCTCTGATTTGAGAATGACCTTAGATTTCTTCTTCCCTTCACTGCTTTCCTCACCCACCAAGAACTCATATACAGGAATTCAGGCTCCTTATCTCCTCACTTTGCTCTGATCCTGTGCATTTAAGCAATTCTCGTTAATAACACAACCAGCTAAATCTACTTGCTAATAAATATGACTTAAAGTTTCCTCTTTTTTTACTTCTTTTTTCTCCTTTAAAACCCAGGACGAACTCATGGCAGAACTAGAGGAACTAGAACAAGAAGAACTAGACAAAAACCTGCTGGAAATAAGTGGTCCCGAGACAGTACCACTACCAAATGTGCCCTCAATATCAATACCATCAAAGCCAGGTATGGATGGGGCTTTACCAGAACCATCTTGGATTGTTTCAGAGTATGTTTATTACAACTGCCAGCTTGTCAGATGTGAGAGATGTCACTGCAGGCAGCACGGAGAAGTTGCTTCATGAATCACAAATACATCTAGTGCTGTTTCTCCGTGGGGGTAACCTGCCTTTCAGAGCCATGCAAATGAATATCCATCACAGGAACAGTTATTATCTCTTCTGCACTACCAGTTTATCTACAGCGTGGGTGATGCTCAGGGTAGAGCGGAGATGTGTAAAAATGAAGCCTTCTACCAGTAGCTGCTGGCGCAACAGGGAAGTAATCTTGACAGACATCCTAAGGGGGGAAAAAAGGGAGTGGAGAGTAAATGAGCTCTTGGAATTAGTCCCAGGCTAGTGCAGATTCCCACACTGAGCCATGCTTCCTGGCTGCTGCTTTGGTTTTTAACTTGATCCCAGCTTTTCTGGCTTTTGGGATGAACTAAGCTCAGAGTTCCCTTTCGGGACAGCTGTTGCTGCCTCTGAGATTTGCACATGCTCAAGCCAGACAGGCCCAAACTTTGGGCCATCCCAGTCTTAGAGCACATGTATCTTAGAAGTCTTAGTTACTGTGATGATTTTACATGGGGAATGGGCAGGAAATGTTCATATTCACACAGGCAGTTCAAAGCTGCTGTTAAATGTGAACTGATCACTGTTCTATGCACTAGAAGTGATACCTCATGAAATACCACTGGGTCGGAATACCTCTGGCATGCACTGATGGATACAACCCTTTACTAGCCTATTTTGCTGAACCTGCCTTAGGGTGTGATGAATAAGTTGTAGACTTTGTGGCTCCGATTCCTGTGCTTACTTAAATAAAAAAGGGCCAAAACAATAGTGGTTGAAAGTAGTCCCAGTGGGTCAGTGTGTCTGTAATTGCCTTGCTGCCCTTCCAAGCTTAAAAGGACTTGGGCAACATCAGACACTGCCAAACAGCAAGGTTCTGCTTTAGGTGGCGTGCTGTGAAGTTTGCTCATGTGCCTTAGAGTTCTTTTATTATGGCAGAATTGATTTAGTGTTTTCCTGGTTGTGTTTTGCTTGGCAGCATTGCTGACAAGTGATGATGAGAGGGGAGTAGGTTCTATCAGAAGAGCTTAAACTCGCTTCAGGTCCAAAAGCAGGAGAAAGAGATTAAATAAATGTCCTTACCATTTGATTCCCTAGCTGGCGTAAATGGTATTTGTTCTCTAAATAGTCTTTGGGTATGGATGTTAAACCATACTGACTTGAACCCAAGTACACCCAAATACGTAATATTCTTGCATTATATTAAGTAGAGGTGACTGTGCACTAGTCAGAGGCTTTGTAACTGTGCACATATTTAACTGTCCTACATAAGACTTATGTAGGCAGAGCACTTCCTAAAATAATAAAAATAATACAAATTATGAATGTTTTTGTAGTAAAAATGCTGAATATAAACCTCAGTGTTTTACAGGCTTTTTGTTAAGCTGCTGTTGGAAGGCAATTGGAATTCCATTACTGTATTTAAAGGGCATGCTACTTAAATAAAACTGCTCCAAGGCTGGCATTTGGGAAGCTTTGGGATTCTGAGGTGGTGCTGGATGGGGATTTTGTGTGGGTTTGCTTTTGGTTTTATTAACCTAAATAATTTTTCACTTAAAATTGACTTAATATGCACTGGGATCAAAGGTTTGCTTCTGGCCATCATGGGTCAGGCTTTCAAAGGGACTGCTTCACCTGACAAGGCGTTGGAAAGAAGTAATGTGCCTTCTGCAGTAAAGCTGCCTCTATTACCTCCTTTTTAGTCACTGAATGGAAAATGCTTGTGAGCTTTCCTGCTTTTCCAGCTCTCAGGAGCTGTCTGGATTTTGACTTCATCAGTCTGAATGAGAAACTTTCAGCTGTTGCCTGTCAGCTGAGTTGATGTCAGAAGGAATTCGGGGAAAAGCTGGTTTTGTTTAAAGGAGACTGGAAGAGCTTAATATAGAAAACCAAATTCCAAACTTGGACAAATGATAGGTCTGGAGTTTGACTTAAAGCTGACTCAGTTCTCTCTTAACACAAATGTTTCACTGGGAATGACACAAACTATTTTGAGTAGGAATGATTTGACCCTTTTTTTCCCTTTGGAAGCAAACCCATTGCAGCTATTTCTGGGTTAAAACCTTCTTGCTCAGTGAATGGTTTAATCTCCAGAGACTGAATTTGTCCCATTATGACAAATAGCAGCATTTGCTCCCTTGGAAGGACCAGAAGTGAGGGCAAGGCAGTGTGTAGCCTGCTGCTCAACGTTCCCATCCAGCCTGCTGCTAGAGGGGGGCACTAGCACATACCCACAGTTAGCCCTTCAGCCCCTTGAGGAGCTTGAACTGTCAGGAGAGTTGGAGGTCTCCAAATTCTGTACCTGGTTAGACGAAATCACAGTAGAGTCATAGAATCCCAAAATGGTTTGGATTGGAAAGGACCTTGAGAACATCTACTTCCAACCCCCTGCCGCGGACAGGGTCACCACACACTAGACCATGTTACCCAAGGCTCTGTCCAGCCTGGCCTTGAACACTGCCAGGGATGGGGCAGCCACAGCTTCGCTGGGCACCCTGTGCCAGCGCCTCAGCACCCTCACAGGGAAGAGCTTCTTCCTTATATCTCACCTGAACTTCCCCTCTTTCAGTTTGAACCCGTCACCCCTTGTCCTATCACTACAGTCCCTGAGGAAGAGTCTCATTTGTTGCCCTTTGAGGGCTTCATGACAGAATAAGGAATTGATTTGTTATGGGGGAGATGTTGTACTCCTGGATGAAACTGTGTCCCTCTGAGAGGGGCTCAGAAGCTGAAGGCTTGGGGTCTGCTGGAGGCTTGGTGCTGATGGAAACCAACAGACACCACTGGTCACACATTACCCTTCATGCAGTCTCTGTTGCTCTATGCAAGCTGTTGGTTTTCCACTTGAAGTGGTAACGTCAGGAAGTTCAGCCCATGCTGGTTTTTCCGGAAGGCACCTTTTACTTCAGTTCTTGTGTATTTTTTATCCTCTGCTGGCATTTGGTGCTTCATGTATTGGTTTGGTCAGTGGCACAGAGGCTTCTCTACTGCAAAGAATCAGGTTCTGTCAAGATTCTCACTCATTTGTTTCCTTCTAATGTTTTGCAGCCAAGAAGAAAGAGGAAGAGGAAGATGATGACATGAAAGAGCTGGAAGCTTGGGCAGGAACCATGTAACCACAGCAGTAACTACCTGGCAAAAGACTTTGATTACCTATTCTGGGTGCAAATGTGTTGTGTTGAGGAGAAAGCATAAGCAAAATGTCTTTATCTTTAATTTTAACCCAAAGCAGTGGGAACTGCATTGCTGTTTTCTGCGTAGCATGGTCTGCACAAAGGAAAGAGAGGGGAGCAGAGGGAGTTGCCTGCGGTTTATACGGTTGAATTGCTGTAAAAAGGTCTTTGCAAAATCAAAACATTCAGCTCTTGGACTGTGCTACTGCCACTGCTGGATCTTCATCTGCAAAGTTTGGGCCATATTGAATTGAAGTAAGCTGAAAAAGAACACTCTGTCATTTTAAGTCAGTTTAAGTGTGTCTAGAAGTCTCGTGAGGCATTTACGAACCAGGACAAGTCGTAAGCCACCATCGGCTTCTTATTGTGTTTAGGTGCAAAAATGCTTTAGGTTTTTAGTTCTTTGCAAGTTCTATTTATATCCCTTGACTGATGTGTGGCCAGCCTTGTGTTTGTCACTGCAACAACCTAGTCACTACTCCCATTTCAATCAGTGAGGAGGCTTTGCAATTGGCAGATGCTATCTTGGAAGTAGGGAAGGTTTCAGTTTCAGTTGTACATTTTTCTACCTAGCACTACAATGTTGATTGCTTTTTTGTGATAATTCATAACCCATTCAGATACATGCACACAATTATTTTAATTAAGAAACTACTATGGATTGCACTGTATTAAATATCTCGATTAATTTTCACTTGGTGCTACTGGTGTCAGTTCTTTTGTGGTGCTTAATCTGACCATAAGTTACCTGCAGTTTGGCCTCTTTCTACACGAGTAACATGGTCTTTAGAGCTAGTTGGTTGTGTGTACTACACTTGTATAAAACTACAGCCTTAGCTGAGTAACACTGCCAGAGAGCTGCTTCAGCTGGTTTACTGTAGTAACACCCTGGTCCCCTGTGTCAAAATGCCCACACTAAGAATTCAAAGCTGAATTAATAGTAGAAGCAGCAGGTTTAGGATAAAGCTGGGAGCCTCAGCTTTCTATTTTTCCTCATAGCAATGGTATCTGTTATGCTCTGTGCTAACAAATGTATTTTAAAGCAGTGGTATTACAGGAGTTCTGGGTGAGCATCTCAAGTGCAGTGAAGTGTCTTAATAGAAGTGCTCAGGTGTAGCTGGGAGAAGAAAAGAAATTCCATAAGCACCGTTAATGCTTTTAAGGTTACTGCTGTTACTAGTCAGAAGCTGTAAGTGATGAGGGCACCAACTGGCAGCCCAGCTGTGCCTGGGCTGTGCTTTACTTCCTGCTCATTTAGCCAACTGCTTTAACTAAAGGAAGAACCTGTTGTGCACAGCAAGGGGCAGATGCCGTGATGAGTGTGTGTTGTGATTCCCGTTTTCTTTTAGCCAGGCAGCTGGAACAGCCTTATTCTTCACAGCCTGTTTATTGTGGATTATTTTAATAAATGACAGAGTGGTTTCTTAATCCCATAATTTATTGGTGTGTCTGAGGAGTATCACCTTTCTGCTTTGAGTATCACTGATGCATTGCATAATATCAGTGCATAGCTAAAATACCTGGAGTAAAATGGAATGGCTTTAAGCTGAAAGAGGGTAGATTTAGGTTAGACATTAGGCAGAAGCTCTTCCCTGCCCAGTGCTGCTCCCTATGAAATCCGTCTTCTGTGTCACTGGATCTTTTCCTTTCCAGATGTATAAATGGATTTTCCATGTGCCTTTCCTCCAGCGGATGTTCTTCTGGGGACTCTTTTAACATACAGACATTTAACAGTGAGAACCTTCAATGTAGTGTTAAATAGGCAGGAAATAAGCAGGGCTCCATTAGCCACTGGGTGGCAAATCACTCTCCAGTTGCTTAACTGAGGAGCTGGAAGTGGATTTGCTCTTTAGTTAATGCATGGTGGTAATGGGCTCTTGGGAGGTGCTTCCTGGGGCTTCCCTGGTGTGAGTGTGAAGAGCTCGTTGGAGTGTGGCCTCACACACGGGAGCAGAGCAGAGCATTGGGAACCATCTCAGGTTGTGGTGTATGTTCTCCAGACACAGTCACCAGAGCCCTGACTAGCAGAGCTGTGTCTGGGGAAGCCCACACTGTGCATGGCCACTGGTGGGGTCAGAGGGGACTTCAGTGCCAACCACAGCAGCAAAAAAGGGGCTGATGGCTCCGGGGAGGGTTTGGGGGCTGATTCCTGCAGTTGTGGGGAGCCCGGCTCTGACCATGCTCAGCAGCCCAGTGTCTGCACCCCTGCGGTGGTGGGTGGTTAGTGTGGTGCTCTGGGGATGGTGGAGGTGTGACTGCTCTCCACAGGCATGGAGAACCCCTGTCCTCAGCTCGGGAAGGGGAATGTGGAG